ATTTAATTAAAATTACCAATATGCATTGTTAAGTGTTTCATATGGTCACTTTTCGCTAATTCACAAGTGGTTTACAAGCAACTTGTCGAGCAATGTTTAATATAATGACAGAACTCAATAACTGGAAGCGCACTTACCGGCTGTATAATAAAATTTCGCATCGGGCCAAAGGAAAAGAATAAATAATAAAAAGCAACTACATGCTTACCACCCTTCCATGGATGTTGGAATTGGCTAGGGTTACGTTCACAAGTAGATAGCTGATCCACATATTGTTCAGCATGCGCACGCTGCTGGCGTATGTTGGAGTGGGGATACATTTTTGGTTGCCTGACATGTTGTTGGGCTGAAAATGCAACGCTAGTTTGAGAGGCGATGTTACCTATGCTGTTATTTCCATTAGATCCACCACTAGCAGCAGATATCGCGAAAGAAGCTGGAAGGCCATCACTAGCGTTAATTCGGTGGCTACTGGCAACTGGTAATGCAACAGACTTGGAAACCAACGGGCACACAGATAAAGGCGAACCGGCAGATGGCGCGCGAAGAGATGTAATGTTCTGGGCTATCGGGCCAGCAAGTGTGGTAGACAAGGGAACTATAGAACAGGCCCGAACATCGTTATGACCGTCGTTAGAAACAGCAGTAGCCATATGATCAAAGACGATGGAAGTGGGAGGACATGTCTGATGTGCCAATTGATCGGAGCCGGAAATCTGTATTTTATAAAAAATACGGTTTATCAGGAGATATGGTGGAAATAATACAAAGGCTTTACCAAAGGAACTTTCACAGTTAATTCAATTATCAAAGATGAATTGAAGTTGATGGAGATTTCCAGAAATTGAATTCCTGTATTTTTATTGTATATTTTTAGATAAACAATAAGCTCCAAGCTTTGAGAAAGACATACATTTGGAAATACCATGAGACTATATCATTCACGATATTGTTGTCCTCTAAGATAAATGGTACAAATAATAAAGATATTCGACGACTTTGCAGAGAAAAAAAACAGAATGAAAATGCAGAAAGTGTAATAGAATAAGCCACATCAATATGGCCAAGGGAAAATAAAAGGAAAAGAATTGTAGGAAAGCCCACCATGTAAAGGGTAAATAAGTATGAGTGCAAAAACAATAAACTAAATAAAGAGAACAGAACCATAATTAAGAAAAGA